ATGCATAAGTGGGTTTTGGGTTGCAGTTTGGGTACTCAGTCTCTAAAAGGTTCGCCATCACTGAACTAGACATTCTGTTTTGTGCTTTAATTGCTTAATTATTCTATTTATTATAAATGTGATTGCCTTTTGGGGGTTCTGTTTTACCTTATAGTGGAAATCCTAATCAGCCGCCAAAAGAAGGCAGGGGCACTGAAGAAACTAACTGATGTAGCAGTCCGAATGTCAGAAGAACAGCTGGTAGAACTTAGAGCTGATATAAAGGTGAATCTCCAGACTGCTTTGGGCTATGTGCACTTTTTTCTAATCTACATAGATTGGGCAGTTGGGGCAGAGATCTTATCGAAGTACAGCCACAATAGGCACAGAGAAATTACATTTCCCCAGGTTCTGCTGATGTAATTACATTTCCTTATATTCCTCTTATGCAGAAGAGCTCTATTGAACAGTAGAGCAGAGGCCCCCAACCTTTTGGGCACCAGGGACCAGTTCCATGGAGAAAGGTTTTTCCATGGACTGGAGGGGTGTGTGGTTTCGTGTGTACCTGCATCCTGCGGATGGGGCTTTGCTTGTTTGTGCGGACCGGTTGCTGGCATGCCACAACCCAGTACTGGTCCACAGACCTGGGGTTGGGGACCCCTGCAGTAGAGGACATATTTAGGAGGAGCCAATCTTAGTCTGTAGCATGTGAAACAGGCAATTTCAATGCCTGACCTGGCAACAACATTTGCTTAAGCTTATGATTGACTGAAAAACAAAAGCATTATTTAAATTTTTTTTGAGAAGAACAAACTCAAAAATCAAGTTGAAGACTTTGCCTGAAACCTTTTCACACTTATTAACCTCCATAAAGCTGATGAATTATTTGATTGTGACTGCGAAATTTGATCTTAGTGGTGGTGTGTTGTCTGAACCAGCAACTCTGACAAATAGCTTCCCTTGCCTACCACTAGAGGCCAGAATGAAGTTACATTCAAATTCCCACAAAAATCTCACTGCATGGGAAAAATTCACTCTGGTAATTGCTGTTCTGTCAGCAGTTCCATCTTTAAACTGTTTATTATTTTCTAATAAATCCAGTTGTTTATTTTTCTGCAATTGTGTAGAAGCAGAGAGAAGGGTATGTAGTTTGTGCCTCGGTTGATACCCACAATTCACATGACAGATCCTCTCCCAAAACATGAATGGGCTTTGTGCATAATGCTAACATGCCTACATTTTTCTTCTTCTCTGCAGCACTTTGTTAGTGAGCGCAAATACGATGAAGATCTCGGCAGGGTGGCTCGCTTCACTTGTGACCTGGATTCCCTAAAGAAAAGCATTGAATCCTTTGGACAAGGTGAGCTGGTCTAAACATTGTATATCCTGGGTATCTACACAAAACAAAAACCCAGCAACGATGGGATAAAGCTAAACTAAACTAAATACGCGTGGCTGATAAAAGCACTTCTAAAATTCTGAAAACACATTTTTCTGTGGCTTTCGGCTGAAAAGGCCCTTCTCAGAATTTTATCAGCTCAGAAAATGATCAAAGTCCCTTATGTGTTTCACTGTTAGTCTTCATATTATTACAGTCCCTGAACTGAGTTGTTTACATACATTTATTACTTTATCCTGCTTATTTTATCTATAATATGTATTTATATGTTACATATCCTTTGGGTGTGGGCGTACTATAAATATTTCAAATTAATACGTGTGGAACGGGGCCACTCTTAGGATGCCTCCATTTGACATAGCTCAATGCCGTGGATTTTAAGGAAAAATGGAAAAATGTTCAAAGCCCCATTGCAGTACTAGTAAAATGAAAGCCATTAGTTTATATAAAAATGCATTTGCAAGCTGCTTCTCTCTGCTCGCCGGTTCTGTTTTTTTATTTTCCAATTTTACCATACCTTTAGGCAGTGGTGGCAAACCTATGGCACGGGTGCCAGAGGCGGCACTCAGAGCCCTCTCTGTGGGCACGCGCGCCGTCGCCCAAGTCCTAGGCCTTCAGCTGGGTTTTATAATACCTTTTCACTTTAGGCCTCCACCGCCGTGTGCAAAAAAAAAAAAGGTTCAATCAATCAGTCAATTTCAACTTCTCACGGGGAAAAAAAGATCTCGCAAAGTTGGAATTGATTGATTGATTGAATTTTTTAGTCCCACCCAGTCTGCCGTTACCACCGCAGCTACACCCACCCGGCACTCGACGATAAATAAGTGGGTTTTGGGTTGCAGTTTGGGCACTCAGTCTCTAAAAGGTTCGCCATCACTGCCTTTAGGTCTACTATTTCTATACTTCAGGGTAATTTCCAGCAGGCACACGGCTCCCTCAACAGTTAGCTCACAACTTCTGAGGAGTATTTGTAAAGTGGTGGCAATGGTTGCTACAAGAACACTACAGGAGCAGACTGGAAGCCATTTTTCTTTTTATTGCAATTTGATTATGTAACGATTTGGAAAATGTATCATCACTGGTTGCCGATGGGGTGAGGGGTAAATTCATTTTTCCGTTGTAAAAAAAAAAGTGTGAAATAAGTCTCTTTTTTTGTCATTCTTGTTTCAGTTTCACATCCAAAGAACAGTTATTCAACCAGATCACGGTGCAGCTCTATTACCTCCACGGCGGTGAGCAGTCCGGATAAGTCCGCTACCACAGTGTGTGCCTCTATCTCTTCTCCTAGCCTCATAATGGCCAATAAGAAACCATCATCCCCTATAGAAACCTCCACAAATGCAACAAGTCGCCCATCTCAGTCCCACCGGGAGGTAATGATTTAATGTTGTTTCTGTGGTTGAGAGTCGCCTGGAGATTGTCCAGGCGTGGATCTTCTTTACAGCAGAGTTTTTCACTTAGAAGGGAAAAGCGAAGGGCCCACATTTTGACCGAGAGGCTGTTGTGCCGCACAGTTAATCTCACAGTTGCTTGTCTTAAGCCAACACTTGGAATGATAATTCAACTCTAATAGAACATGGACCAAATTTAAAATAACTTCCCATTTTTAAAGACTGGATTGACAGCATTCAAATGAAACATTCTAGGTCAGTGATGGTGAATCTTTTAGAGGCCGAGTGCCCAAAGTGCAACCCAAAACATTGTGGTGCTCTCAGGGAGAGCAGGGGGCGTGGCCCACTGGGTGGGCATAGCTGTGGTAATCATGGCAGACTGAGTGGGCGTGGCCGGGGTTGGGCCAGGACCAGGGTGGCAGGGACCAGTCCCTCACCATCTGCAGGGCATCCCCAGGGGGCCAATGCTGCTTGCTTGCTCACTTCCTGCCCGTTGCTTCCAAACGCCACATGCTCGCTACTCTGGCGAATTCTGCTGGGGCCATGGCGTGCGTGCCCACAGAGAGGGCTCTGAGTGCCGCCTCTGGCACATGTGCCTTAGGTTCGCCACCACTGTTCTAGGCCATTGCATCTTCTTGTGTAGTAAAGAATATTAATGTGTATTAATATAAGGTTAAAAATGCAGCATATATTTTAATTGTATATAGTTAGGCAATGGATGGAGTGCTATATTTTCAGACCCTCTCAGAAACCGGCTTTACTGATTTTGGTTGTAAAACCATCTCCTTGGTATCTATGGATCTTTATCCTATTCTGAGTATGGAAAAGAGTGCTCAGGTAATACTGGTACCGACCGCTCTGATTTCCCCCTTCCTTTCTGTTCCAGGGGTTCCAGGGAAATAGAAGGTCTGGTCAAGGTTACCGGTCCCAAGGACAACGCCAAAATGGCTCATCGCATCTCAATTCAAATCGCTATAGAAATGGGTCTTGGTACCAGTCCAACTACAAATCCCGACCACCCTCCGGAAACTCAAACAACCCCAACCAGACTTGCCCCACCGGAATCAATGGAACTGGGCCTGGGCCTGAGCCAGGCCCACCAGCCCCGTCCCTACAGACACAGTTGGTCCCACTCAGCCCAGAAGCCAAGGCTCTGCCACAGAGGAAACCTAGATCAAGCCAATACGAGGCATCCAGTTCCTGAGGACCGCAAACTCGGCCACTTTCCAAAATTGGAGAACAAGATTGCGGGACACACTTAGCTAGAGATATTAATGAGAAAGGAAATTTACATTTTGCTATCCCTGTGCTGTCTCTTTTTCCCAATCATTCCATTCCGGGAAAGCAGCTTCTTCGCATTTCTCTTGCCCCTGCTTCCTACCGTGTGGAATGGGTCAGATTTTAATGGGAAGACATATTCTTGCTGTTCAGGAGTGGCTTGGCACACCTTACTGATGCCCCTCCTTATGTCCAACGGCTCCTTTTAACATTAGAGCCTTTTTAAAATATTGGCAGGTCTGTATCCTAAAAGTGAGGGGGTGGGGGTGGGGGGTGGGAATGCCTTCCAGTAGTTCTAATCCAAAACTTTCTGATCCCTCCGCCGCCCAGAATGCCAGTAGCCAGGCCTTATTTTTAACAGCAAAAGCTATTCATGCTGACAGTGAAACAGGTTGCTGTGAATTGTGGGTTCAGGATGAGAAATTTGAAGGGGGAAAGCTGCAAGAGATTGCTGAAATACTATATTCTTTTTTTTGCAACTTATCCTTAAAGTCTACACTTGGGAATACTGGGGAATATCTCTTCCCGTAGTGGGTGAGCAAGTTCCATTCTTCCCGAGAGAATTAACATTCTGTCTATATGTCATGTATAAATTTAGATATTCCCTGGTTTTAATGTTTGGTGTGGGATGGGAGGTTTCATTTTTTTTTCACTTCCCGGCCAAAATCCCATTATCTGATTCTAAACTAAATTTCTAGCAATTTATTAGTAACGCTAAGCCTAAATGATCGCAAGTAAAAGCAACAATTGCTACAGTCTCTCTCTATCCTTGTATAAATAAAAGCAACGTACATGTTTAAAAGATAGTAGCCTTCACTTTGTGCCCTTATTTCTTCTCTTTAAAAAAGAGTTCATAGTAAATGGGTTTCCTACAAATGTGGGTTAGATTAATTTAGGATTAGTTTAATTTCAAGGAACAAAAAAAAATATCTGGACTATTTTGAGTATAGTTAGTTTGGGTATCTAGTTTGCTGCTGCAGCTGATAAATGAGGTAGGAAAAATAATAAGACCTTTAGCGATAACAGTAGATAATTCAGAATGTTCCATTTGGGCTTCAGGCTTGGACTGAAGAGTAAAGGGAAAAAAGGGGGGGGGGGAATCAGTCTTTGGAAAAATAATGGATCTCAAATATTTTGTGTAGGATGGTAAGAGTGTTTAAGAAACTTCAAAGAATCTGAGCATTTCACACACAGCCATGCTGTGTGTTGGCACCTATATTGCAGATAACTGAAAATGGTGATTTGCTTGAGACCAGTCAATCACTTTATTGCAGAAGTGAAGTTCAGATCAGTTTCTTAGCACACTATTTATATTAAATACAAGTGGAGTACCAAAATACTAAATCATAGAGAATGATTAGAATGTTTTACTGTGATTGGTCCTATATGATAGTAGGCAGTAATAAATGGTTAATTTAAAAGCATATAGTAGAAGTCTTCAGGTTAATAAAATCTTTTCTCAGTAAAGATTTGCCTAAGGTACAATTTCTCAAATCTGATACTAAGTTATGGAAATGAATAGTCAAAGAATCTAAGTCAGTGTTTCTCAACCTTGACAATTTTAAGGCATGTGGACTTCAACTCCCAGAATTCCACAGTCAGCCATGCTGGCTGTGGAATTCTGGGAGTTGGTCCACATGCCTTAAAATTGTCAAGGTTGAGAAACACTGAAGTGATCATCCAGAAGACTTGATGTCGGCCAAAAAAAACCCCTGTACATGGCCAAAGCCTCGGCAGTAGGAAAACAAGTGAGATTCACACTCATCTTTCTATTTTGCATTGAAGCTAACTTGAATCTGGCTACTGAATATCAGCCTGAGATCGTTTAGGCGTAAGTTAGAGGTACAATTATAGAACTGAGCTTTAAATTAGGAAGCTTTTCAACCAGCCTTAAAAAAAGACAAAATTGGTTTGAAAAGGAAAATTGGAGAAGATTTCAGAAACATTTGCAGTAATGGCTGTATGTGTTACTACCTCAGATGATAACTATCAAGAACCAGAAAGCCCTGACCGTCACATTTAATATTTTAAAAGTATTTTAAAAGTATTTCCCTCTCCCAACTCCACGTGTATGCCTGAATGGATTGTAATGTCTTCACTGGCTGTTGCATCAAGCCCTAAAAGTCTTTTCCTTTTGAAATTTCAGCTAGCAAAAGGCCATCCTGTGGCTAAGACGAGGCATATGAAGATGAATCATAAATTCACTATGGGAGTCAATATGGTTATTGTGCGGCCGGAAGCTTTTCTCAAGCCTTTTATACAACCTAAAACATGAAGACAAATAACCAGTCTACCTGATAAATGTGTTTAGGTTTGCTGAAATAAAATATATGAACTAATTTGGGTAACTGAAGTACGTTACTGATGTGTAATATTATTCACAATGATGCAATTTTATCTTCTCATTATATCAATAAAGGCATTTTCTTCACTGGCATGGTAATTTAATTTGAAAATGACACTCTAATGCAACTACAGCCTCAAGGCAGCAATGATGTACTTGAGGGACAATAGGCGGATTTAGGGCCTGCTGGGGATAATATGAAACCAGCGGGAACCTAGCATGGATCCAGTCTTTCTCCAGAATAAAGGTCTTAATTATATGCCATATAAAAGTGTACAAATGATTGTTGTATATAAATATAAATGATGGTCTTAAGAATACTGTAACTGCATGTGGTCTCATCTTGCACAGAACTAAAGTCCAGGAACTCTTAACAAAGGAATCCATCTTTGCACAGTATGCTTACCCCTAATTTATGTAACTGTGGTTAACTCAACTGGATGCTATTTGTCTGGTTTTGTACAGAGTATAAACTAACTGCGTGGTTCAGCATGAGTTTACATAAAATTATAGCTAGAGTAGGCCAGATTAAATCTGGCTCATTTGTAGCTTCTGTACAACATCATTTGAACATAGCCAGTAAGAGATTTGGCTTCATATTCCAACATTCTGTCCTCATATTTACAATTTCTTGGTGCTCCATGCAAAAAGACTCTTCCAAACAGTCAAGAGAAACTTTTAAGGACAGGAAACCCTAATGCTTCTCAATATGTTTACAGCTGCGCTGCCTTAAGTTTCAAAACAGATGTTTCCTTAAAGAAGTTTTAATCCCTGAATATGAGGTTCAAAGGACTAGCTAAACCAGGGGTCTTCAAACTCGACCCTTTTATGACTCATGGACTTCAACTCCCAGAATTCCTCAGCCAGGCATGCTGGCTGAGGAATTCTGGGAGTTGGAAGTCCATGAGTCATAAAAGGGCCGAGTTTGAAGACCCCTGAGCTAAACCTTCAAAGGTAAGTACAGTTTGGGGCAGGGTGATGTGGAAATTTCTTTCCTCAATAAAATAATGTAAGAAGTATCCACATAAACATGGTCCCTTGCAGCAGAGAGGCTCTGTTACTGTACATAATCCATAGTTACTAATGCTATTAGTCCAAAGTAGAGAAGCTACTAATTGCCAAACCCAAATACATTCAGGTCCAAAAGTGCAGTGGAGAAAACAGCAACTGCTTGAACAATCAGCACAATGAGTGTGCTAATACACATTTTGCTACAAAGAGAAGAACCTTGAAGGATGCACTTTCTATTTGCCCAACAGTTCAAGAGCTGTTTTTGAATGGAAGAACTTCCAAAAACTGATCAAACTGTTGGCAACTCCCTCTGCTAAGATGCTCCTCTGATGATCGAACCTATCATAGCACATAACAATCCTGAGTTCAATAGCACTTAGACTTATATGCCGCTTCACAGTCCTTTACAGCCCTCTCTAAACGGTTTACAGAGTCAATATATTGCCCCAACAATCTGGGTCCTCATTTTACCGACCTCAGAAGGATGGGAGGCTGAGTCAATCTTGAGCCAGTCAGAATCGAACTGCTGGCAGTTGGCAGCATTTAGCCTGCAATACTGCATTCTAACCACAGCACCACCACGGCTCAGATCATAAGTAGCACCACATTCAGTGTAAGAGTAGGTAGCGGAGGCAACCCATTTTTATTAATTTCACTCCATACCTTGATATAATTATTTCAAGATAACATATAATTCATGTTGCATTCAAGATTTCATGGGTCAGCCAAGTAGCATGCACAGAGATTATGGAATGCCTCTCTTTACTTAGTGTCTCAAGTAGGACAGTAGCAAATGAAGCCACTGGTTCCTTTGTGAGATCTTTTCAATCACCACCCAAATTCAAAACCATCCCTTGAAACTGCTGGGGATGTAGCTTGATTATACACACAGTATGAGCCAACCCAACACAGCAATGCAGTGATGTGGAAATTTACTGTCATACATGATTAAAAGACATAAGAGTTTTGTAAGAATAAACAGCCTGGTAATTAACCACAGTCTTCCATATTTCTTTCAAAATTCTGTAATATAGATGCTGGCTGGTGTTCAATAAATGCTCGGACTACTATGATAATGACAATTATCCAGACGGAGCTATCTGCAATCTTCTTAGCTTTTCAATATGTTGTTTCATTTTTTTAATGTATGTATTCCTTACATCTCTCCCAGCATTGCAGACATTTCAAAAGAGAGAAGTCTTTTGTCTAATGTGTCAAAATGCAATTATTTGAATCTAATGATTTGTGCCTTGACTTTGGATTGATTTGTTCTATTGATTGTCAGTAGCAGATATTCTATCTTTAATTTATCCTGATTTACAGTAGAGAATAGGTAAAAATGAGCATGGAATAGACAGCTGCTTTTTTTTCCCTTTCCTTGGGGAAGGCACAGGAGCGTTAGCAGAAAAAACTGAATTAACAGTTGGGAGAAGACCACGGAAATAGTTTTGTAATGAGTGATGCTCATATTTGGAGCTTATCTTCCAAGGATATGGTGAGAACTCTGCTTATAGTTTGGTGCTGTTCAGATGATTATCTAAAGTCAGAAGTTCTAGGGCTCTGTTTTATGCCTTTGTGTTTAAACCAATCTCCAGATTTGCTTGTAAGTTCTTTCATAAAAACTATGTCCTTGATAAGAGTCCAGAAAACATATCTAAATATGTCGCACCCTCTGGGAAGGTAAGTTTATATGTTCTTATTTATTAATAAGAATATATAAACCTAGATGTTATTTATTAAGTAACTTATTACAGCTAGCACTCTTCAAAGACATATGTTGAGCAGACCAGGTTGAGTCTATTAAGAGTAGGTAGTCTTTGAGGTAGCCAGGTCATGAGTCACAAAGAACTTAAGATATAATGCCCAACACTTTGACTTGCGGTGCTGGAGTTAAAATCAGAAATCTGATCCAAGAATCAACACTAAAGCCCACATTTGCTTTAGTAGAAGCCTAACGCCACCTATGTAAAAAAATAATCTTCTGATGGGGCTGCTATGTCTGGGCCATGAAACCTCAAAGAACGTCTAGAATCATTTACTTCTTACTGTCCTGTAATGATTGTCTGGATTTTTGCAGCCCAAGTCTAGTAGCCGTACCTTCTGGCCTTGTGGAGCACTTGTGTGTTAGCATCATGAGAAGAAAAGAGTGGATCTTGGTCCTCCCATGTAGCTGAGGAGAGGGAGAGGGAGTCCTTCACCGCATTGCATAAGGTCCAGGCAACAAAGCAGGGGAAAGCCTTCCAACTCTTCAAAAATTTTCAGACTCGGCTCACTCCTCTTCTTGTGCTTCTGAAGCTTATGGCTCCTTCGTTGGCTCTTCAAGACAACAAAATAGTAGGAAATCTTGTTTCTGCATTCTTATCAGAGCAAGTGTGATTTTCTTCTCTAGCAAGGTGGCAGGTGCATTTGGGGAATCCTTGGCATGGTGGTTGTGAGATTAGCAGCCTCAGCCTT